TGCTTCTCCAAGTTACCATATTACCCCATACAAATGTGCAGTAGCCTGTAGTCGATTTCCTGTCAGATAAACATCCTGCCCAATCTGAATCAGTGTAGACTTCAATACCTCTGTTTGAGTTCTTTTGAAAATAGAGTCCTCGACTTGGCGTACCTTTTAGGTACTGGAGAATTCTGTTAACATTTCTCATGTTAGTTTCAGTTGGATTTAACATATAACGACTAGCCATGCTTACAGCAAAACCAATGTCTGGTCTGGTGTGAGTTAGATAGATTAGTTTTCCAACTAGACTTTGGCATCTATCTTTATTAGCTGGTATATTCTCATTTTCACTCCTTTTTATTTGTTCTATGGGAGTATTGGCAGCTTTGCATCCAAGCATACCTGTTTCTTGAAGTAAATCCAAAGTGTACTTCCTTTGAGAAACTGAAATACCATTCTTCGTCTGTGCAATTTCCATCCCTAGAAAATACTTGAGCTGTCCTAAGTCTTTGACTTCAAATTCTTTGGCTAGAAGTTTCTTTAACTGGTTGACTTGTTCATCATCATCTCCGGTAATTACGATATCATCAACATAGACAATAAACAAAGCTATCTTCCCATCCAAAGAGTGCTTGACAAACATAGTATGGTCTGTTTGACATTGAACAAAACCATCTTGCTTGACAACTTTTGTTAGTCTGTCAAACCATGCCCTTGGTGATTGTTTGAGGCCATATAGAGATTTTCGAAGTCGACACACCATGTTGGAGGTCCCGGGTGATTCAAGTCCTGGAGGAATTTTCATATATACCTCTTCTTCTAACTCACCATTTAGAAATGCATTCTTTATGTCTAGTTGGTACAGGGGCCAATCTAGATTTGCTGCCAGAGATAGTAGAACCCGAACAGAATTGAGCTTCGCAACAGGTGCAAAAGACTCCTCATAATCCACCCCATATGATTGTGTGAACCCCTTAGCAACCAACCGAGCTTTGTACCTATTTATACTCCCATCAGCATTGTACTTAATTGAAAATATCCACTTGCATCCTAATGCTTTCTTCCCTTCTGGTATAGCGGTGATCTCCCATGTGCCACTTCTTACAAGTGCTTGAACTTCTTCTGTTACAGCTGCTGCCCATTCATCTTTTTGCAATGCTTCTTGAATATTATTTGGAATTTCTATGTTGTCAACAACTGCTACAAAAGACCTGTAACTTTGTGATAGTTTTTCATAGGAGATATATTTTTCAATAGGGTGTTTGGTGCATGTTCTAACCCCTTTTCTCATAGCAATAGGAATATCCATATCTACTTTATTTGTAACAATATGTTAAGAGTTAGGGAGAATATTACCGGTGGGAACTTCATTTTCTAGAGCTTGGTTGGACTCATGGCCTTGCATTGGAGCTATACTTCACTCTACTTCCTTCCTCCTCCTTTTATAAACCTTCCAGTTACCTGTTTTTGGATCACAATTCTGTTGAGGTGTGGTTGAGACTATAATTGGTCCGGTTTCCGTCACAGCTTCTGTTGTCCTTTCACTCGGTTGAATGTTAGAGGTTTGGTTTAGTAATTTTTCAGCTGGTTTAGGCATAGGTTCGGCTGATTGAGTGTTATCGGTTTGGTCTGGTAAGATTTTTCCATGTTCGGTTAGTTCAAGAGGCAAAAGTTGGTATTCTGAATTTTCAATACGATGTATGTATGATTGCTCCCCCTGAATACCAGTTTTGATGTAATAGGGCTGATTTTCAAAGAAGGTTACATCCATAATGTGGTAAAATTTTTTGGTATGGGGAGAGTAACACCTATAACCCTTTTGGTGAGGAGAGTAACCAAGAAAAATGCATTTGATGGATTTTGGGTCTAATTTGCTTCGGAGAGTAACACATTTCAAATCTCTTGTAATCTTGCTAATGGATAGCAAGTTACAATCAAGTGTAGGCACATACAAAACAGAGTCAAGAGTAATATTTGGTGAAATTATAATTGATCCTTTACTCATGACCTTAGAATGTGTACCATTGGCTATTCAAACATTATAGTTATAGGGACATGGAGAATAACTATTAAACAGGGTGAAATCTCCAGTCATGTGATCTGAGGCCCCTGAGTCAACAATCCATGATTTTGTTTTTTCTTTACTAGTGTTTAAAGCATGTAAATAATTACCTCTTTGAGCCACTACAGCAGTACCACCTTTTTCTACGGTTAACATAGTTTGCTGAAGGAGTTTTTGAAGAGCCTCCATTTGTTCCTTGCTAAAAGGAGATGAGTTAGAGTATACCTCAGCTTCTTGGTTGTTAAATGCTGTGTTACCTCTGCCCTCCTTGCCTTTGAACAATTTTGCCTCCGAAGGTTTTCCATGTATGATCCAACATGTTTCCTTTGTGTGGCCTGGTCTGCCCTCCTTGCCTTTGAACAATTTTGCCTCCGAAGGTTTTCCATGTATGATCCAACATGTTTCCTTTGTGTGGCCTGGTCTCTTGCAGTGATCACACCAGGGGCGGTTTTTCTTTTGTGATTGTCGAGGCTGATTCCCCCTTGCTGCCATTGCAGAGCTCTCGCTGTACGGAACTGAGTTGGGTGTCCCCAACATGATTTTCCTCCCGCTTTCTTCCCTTCTCACTTCTGAAAAGGCTTCTCGAATTTTGAGAAGTGGTTTGGTTCCAAGGATCCTTCCACGAACTTCATCTAGGTCCTTGTTTAGTCCCAATAGAAATTTGTAAATCCTATCTTTTTCCACCAATTCCTTATATTTCTTTTTATCTTCTGTACAACACCATGTAACCTCTTCATATATGTCTAGTTGCTGCCAGTGTTTGTTAAGTATGTTAAAATACTCGGTAACAGAAGATTCTCCTTGTCGAAGGTCATGAAGAATGCTTTTTATCTCAAATACGACAGATGTATTGTCAACATTTGAGTACGTTTCCTTCACTACATCCTATATCTCTTTTGCAGTGTCATAGAACATGAAATTTTCACCAATTTCATTTTTCATGGTATTGAGCAGCCATGACATTGACATTACTTGGCTGTTCTCAAGTTTCCATTTCTGAAAATTTTTGTCTCCTTCCGCAGGACATTTAGAATCTCCCGTGGTGTAGCCTTCCCTTCCTTTTCCTTCGAGGAAGATCTTGACTGACCTTACCTATTGGATATAGTTTTGACCATTTAATTTATGGCCTGTGATGAGGTGAGTGATCCCTTCGTGTGAACTGGTCGGAAATGATCCAATCTCCACTTTGAGCGATTTATCAGATTTAGGATCCTCCATATTTTGGCGGCGCTAGGTTAGGGATGGTTCAGATGCGGCGCTAGGTTAGGGATGGTTCAGATTGTGCTCTGATACCATGTAGAAATATACTTTATATTTCCTTGTGTTTTATGAGAATTACATAGCAGTATTTATAGAATACATAAGGCAGAATTTGAAAGGGAAATCTGTCCTAGAAATCAGGGGAGTTAATTTTCCCATAAATGCTAATTCTAATTACATTAAAAACAGAAAATAATAACTAATTAATTACATTAGTCCTAATCCTAATGAACTGTACAAACAGAATCATTTGATTCTGTATTGATTATTCCACAGTACCCATGCTTCAGTAGGTGTTCTTTTGACAGTATCCTAGACCTGTTTTGTTGTGGGAAGAAATATGACGGGTTTCCCAATTCATGCTTCCATTGAATTAATCAACCAGATAATGATCAAAGGGTTTTCAGACTACCAGAACCTATAGGCTGGATCTACCTCTGCAAGTCCTGGTGTTAGGAATCTGGGGAACATTGGTGAATTTGATTAATATGATAATGGAATGAAGAAAGCTCTTCCACAAAGAACTTTCCAGAGCATATGCTCCTACAGAGAAAGTTAGTATCTCTTCCACCTGCCTAAAATAGTTGCAAGATTCAATAATGGATAAAAAATGAATGAAAATACAATACCCTCCCCAGTCATTTGTCATTTTATTACGTGATCCTAAGTGAGTCTTTCCCCCAAAAGTGGCACTACTCATGGCATGTCATATACTATTTCTTCCATCTAGAATAAACAAGCCATGGTTTAAGATGTGGGCCAAAATCCAGCAATTGATCATTATTAAGGCCCAATTCTCCATTGGACTGCACCAGGACTTTATCATCTGGTATATCTCCAGTAAGAAAGCTATATTTTCTATTGCCATTCAAAATGAGTCAGACAGCTTGGCACATGTAGCGAGTTATTTTGACCAACATCTCTTGGACCAAATGGACCAGCGCTATCATAACCACCATTATAGCCATAGACGAAGCCACAGCCACAGCCACCGTCGCCGTAGTTTCTGGGTCCGCCATTGCCACTTCCTTGGGAAACCCTAGGGCCACCACTGCCTGAGGGAATCCCAGGGTCGCCACCTGCTTGCCAGATTCTCTGGGCCGCCACTGCCTGCAGAATCCTAGAGCTGCCATCCCTTCCATTTCAGCGACTACCTCTTAAGCCGTTGGTTAGTGGGTTTCCTCCATCACTGGTAAGCCTGTTGATCAATTAATTTCATAAAGTCTCTGCGGAACAAGGGTAATATACGCATATGATAAACTCGATGCATACAGTTTGTATGCTCTAGCTCGAGGGAGAGTGCTCATATATTGTGTACATAAGAAATTAAGATCATTCTCTTGAGATTTGACTTTATCCTTTCCTTATTTTTAGCCTTGCCTTTATGTATATATTTGAGAACTCTTTGAAAAGAACTAATTAATTAGAAGTACAGTTCCCCATTATTTCCTCTCTGATCTCAATTGGTTTAGGGACTTAATGACGGCGATGAATGTTTGGAAAATATTATCAATGATGATTTTGACATCTTCTACAAAAGATAATTTAGCTTGACATACATTTTCAATAGCTTATATGATAAATTTTGATACAGGGCAATTGAAGTCTTATCTTTTCTTATCAAAAGGAAATTCTTTTGCTTGCAAATATCAGTGTTTAGTTTCTAAAGGTATAAAAATAATCAATTTCTAAACAGGTAGCTCCAGTGGCTAAACATCAGCATATTGAGAAAGTGGAACCTCCGGTGCCACAAGTACAAGCTGAAACATCACAGACGACTGGCACAGTTCATAATCCCCCTCCAAAAGTTGATTTTGCAACAGACCTTTTTGACATGTTTTCTATGGATGATCCAAATGAAAAGGGCTCTGACGCAGCTGATGCTACTGCTGATGATGATAACAACTGGGCAGGTTTTCAGTGTATGTTCTTGGTATAATTTTATATAATGCAACTAGATGATGATCCACCACACGTTTTTTTTTGAATGAATGGTGATACACATGTTGCGCAGCTAGAATATATTTGTCCAAGTGATCTCTAATATTAGAATACGAGCTAGAATAAATGTATGAAGCTTATGGAAAAAATATCCTGTTAATAGAATAGTGATGTCTTTGAATGAGAGGTTTATGTAACACATTACAACCTAGAGAGCATTCCTACTAATGGAAAATTATTTGTTGGCTCTAAGATAGCAGTATGTTGTATATTATTTATATTTTAATCTTTGGCAACCCAATATCTAGACAATGTTTTCTAACTCCTCTGTTAAGATCTTTTAGAATTTACAAGATGTCATTGCAACAAAATGGATAATAAGCATGTCTATCAATTAAACTGACATTCATAGGTTCTATATGTAGCGATTATCTTGTTTGCGATACTATGGATGATAAGCATGCTTTTCTAGCTTAATAACTTCAAGTATGAATTATCCATGAAAGTCATTATATGAGAATACTCTGAAGAAAATGGATTAAAACAAATAATTTTTTTATATAAATTGGTAGAATGAATAAAATTTTAAGACGGAGAATGTCTAAAATTGGTTTAAATTTTTTAGTCTAGCAATGAAATTAGGAATTGGATAGCATTTCTATGGTATGCAAAACCTTCAATCATATGATCTATATAATGAAGGTGTTCTGTATTCTGATGCTACGTTTTTTAGATTGAAAAGGGAAGAGACATAAGTGCAGGTAGGGATGAGACAGGGGTTTGGGTGAATAATCGGTGAATTTTAGATGAGGATTTGGAGAAGCTTCTTATGATCATTTTGTCTTCTATATTTGTTGCAGCTGCTGCAGAGACGTCAACAACTGAGAAAGCGGACACGGGGAAATCGGTTGAGAGCACACCCCAGCCCGTCTCTGGAATTGAGGATATATTTAGAGACTCATTTTCAGTAACGCCAAGCTCCGCTCTTGAAAAACCACAAAAAGATATAAAAAATGATATTATGAGCCTCTTTGAAACGGTTAGTGCATGCTTTTTAGGATTGTGAGATCCTTTTATGAGTTGTTATAATTAGTCTTATTTATTGACTTCCTTCATGTCCTATGGGACATTATGGTTGCATTTAGCTGTTGGTCTTGCTGTTGATCTCTATCTAAAGATGGGTTATTTTGTTATGATCTGTCAATATGAATTTACTTGACACGGTAAATGGGATATATGCAGAACAATATAGTGTCTCCATTTGCTAAGCATCAACAGCAGTTGGCTATGCTGGCACAACAACAGTCTCTTATAATGGCGGCTGCTGCTGCTGCTGCTGCTAAATCTGCTAACGGGGATGCCAAATATCCTGCTAATGTACAGCAACCTGGTCTCAATATACCTATTCAAAGTTGGCCAGCTGCAAGCTACCCAATTCCAGGAGTAATTCCCATGGGTGGTCAGGGAGAATTGCAGAAACTTATGCAGGTAATAATGAATGTGAGCTTTAATCTAATTGATTGATGATTTGTTCTTATCTGTTCTGCAATTTGTTTATCTTCTTCCTTCTGGATCAGACAATGAACATGACTTCCGCGCATCCAGCAGAGAGCTCAGTTCAGTATCCTCCTTCTAGGTACCCCCAGTCCGTGTATTTAAAAGCCCATTAAATTCCAGTATAGAACATAGATAACTGATAGGGATTTATCTGAATGTGGCTATCTTGTTACCACTTGGTGCAGTTTTTTAACGATGGCACAAGTTGCTCCAGTTAATGGCGCGGCGGCGGCAGTAGCGAGTAAACCTCAGTCAGCAACTCCAGTATCATCAACCACTACACAGACGGCAAATGATTATGATTTTTCCTCATTAACACAAGGAATGTTTGCAAAACCCTAATTGGCGTCTGTTTAATAGTGCCCGTCGAGGTCATCATATATACCATGGAAAATTAGTTAAAATTACAGAAAATTGCAATTCCTTTTTCACCTCTCCCTTGAGTCGTCATTGGATTGTATACCATTTGTAGAGCTAGTGAGCTAGTTCAATTTTTTCTCTTGTTTGGGGGTGATTGCTTAATTTGTACTGATAGGTGTATTCACAATAAAATTCAGTTTTATGGACTACAGGTGTTTGGTCTTTCACTGCGTTGTACAAAAACATGAAAGTTATATTTCTTGATGTTTAGTAATTGTTGATTATTTTTTATTGTCCACAGAGTTAGAATATGATGAATGTAATGTTTTTGTTAGTATATGTGCCCGCTAATCATCAGAGAAGGAATATTTTGGCAATATACATCTTATGGTGGATATAACAAATGAGCGGGTATATTCTAGCAGATACTTATATTAGTTATATTAGTTGTTAGTTTTAGGGTGATCAAATTAATCTATTATTTATCTATATTCAAATTCAATTATTAAAAATCAATTAATTATTAATATAGTTTTAATCAAATTTGTATTTTGAACATGTTATTAATATCATTTTAATCAAATTAATATTTTGACATTCATATCTAAAATAAAAATTAAATTAGTTTATTATTTTGAAAATTACAAAAATATTTTAAATTAATTTCTGAAAGTTTCTTTTTAATTTTTTTTATCTTGAAAGATGTTTTTTATTTTAATTTTTAATTCAAAAAACAAAGAAATTTTGATTTTTTTTAAAATTTTGAAGAAATATATTTGTATTGAAAAATAGATTTTTTTTTTTAAAATAAAAAATGATTGAAAAATAATTATTTTAAAAAAATTTATATTAAAATTAATTATAAACTAGTTATAGATATAATATGTTAATAACTATTTTACAAAATTAGAACTCTGATTATGACTATTAGTTTTATAACCATTTTACAAGCATGAATTATATATAATTATAGATTAATTATGAAAGTTAACCCAACATGAACATCCATCCCTGGTTATAGTTTACACCAACTTATTCGTTTAAATATTATTTTAAGGAGTACATTAATAAACTACACCTTTTAATGTATTTAATTATATTTTAGTTACTACTTGTTAAATAGTCATATTTACATAATGGGTATGTTAACAAATAAAATCTAATTCTTAACAAATACACAACCAATTAATATGTGCAATTCACAAAGTTAACTTAAACTATTTTAGGAGAAAATATGTTTTCTTGTCTGTCAAATTAAAGCCTTTGGATACTTAACGTGGTACCGTTTATATTGATGTTTACGATAAAATTTCTTGATTTTAATTCTTGCAAAATTTGAAAATAGTTTTTGGTCCTACCGACGTGCGTTATTTGTTGAGAATTTTTTAATAGATTTTTTACTTCACTCACACACAATGCAAAAATACTAAAATACTTTTGAGTTTTTGGAGATATATTTTCAAACACACAATTTACACTCAACGTAGTTATTATGAGTGACGTCTTATAAATTTGGTTTTTGTAATATCAGAGATGCATATCCGTAATTTTTCAAGAAATATATTCATAGTTGATCAATTCAGTGAAAATTTCGGAGATGTATTTTTGAAAATTTGGACGGAATTTTAAAATTTGCTGTCACCTTTGCATGTCAGATATTTCTGAAGATGCATCTCCAAAATAATCTGATAAAAGATATAGCTACATGATCACACATCTATACTTGTTTTTCTTTACAAGCCCTCACCAAAAACACTTTTGTTGCACCCCAAAATTTGACCAACCATTTCTCGTACTTGGTTTATGTTTCATCTCATTGTTCTAACATTTGCATTTGCATATCATTGTTCATTTGCAAGGGATTGAGAGGTGTGCATGACAAGAGGAGGTTACCAGTAATTCTAAGCCTAAGCAAGAGGTTTTATTCAAGTGGTCAAGTGCTTATCATCACCAGGAGAAGACCAAAGCTCTTTGAAAGAATAACTGGATAGTTGTGGTATATCTCCTATCTTGGAGGTCAGTTGAAGATCATCAGAGGATGTTGAGTCCATGGTTATGGATGGAGAATGTGGTAGAAGCTCAATGATTGCTTTGAGGGCCATTGTGGAGCTTATCCAAGTGATTACATCATGTACAAGAGGTTGTGTCGCACCTCGAAAATTCATTTCGAACATACGACCCTCGCGCGAAAGGCGCGGGAAATGCGGTTCGACAGAGTCGCCACCGAACTTTATTTTTCCCGAATAAACGGGAGAGGAAAATATCGAGAAAACCTCATAAACACGGAAGGAACACGGCCGTCGCAACCATATTTCTGGGTTCAAGAGTCGGTTACGCGAGGGGAAGGTATTAACACCCCTCACGTCCGTTGTACTCAACGGGAACCTCTTAATTCGAGTTGTTATGGATGTTAGCTAAACTTAATCTTCTCTTCTCACTACTAGATGCTAGAGGATACTATAAAGGATAAAGACACTAAGGGGAAAGGGGGTGGTTAGAGGATAGGGTGCTCACCAAGGATTTGGGCCCTTGTGCCTACGTATGCTCATTCGGACGAGAATGAGAAATCAGAGCGTCGTAGTTCGACTACGGGAAAGGATGGGGGAAATGGAAGATGGAGGGATTGTGCTCGCCAGGATCATCGCAATCTTGTGCCTACGTATCTTACATTCAAGGGTGAATGAAGAATCAGAGAAGTCGTAGTTCGTGGTAACGACCACGAAAGAAACAGGTTTGAATTAGATTTGAAGTGGATACAGATGACGACTACTTGAAGCTTAAGAAAGACTTCTCGGACCCAAGTAATCGAGAGAGTGAACCAAAGACTTGGAACTCTCTCTTTTTCATCTTGAAGATAAGGTTGTGTTTGAAAGGGTGAAGCTGAATTGATGACGACTACTTGAAGCTTAAGAAAGGCTTCTCGGACCCAAGTAGTCGGGAGAGCGAACCAAAGACTTGGAACCCTCTCTTTTTCGTCGTGAAAAGAAAGTTGTTTGAGTTTGAAATGGTGTATAAAAGGATGAGATTGGTCGGATGACGACTACTTGAAGCTTGAGAAAGGCTTCTCGGGTCCAAGTAGTCGGGAGAGCGAACCAAAGACTTGGGACACTCTCTTTTTCATCGCAAAAGAAGTTGTTTGAAAGGTGAGTGAAAGGATGAGTAATTGGAGATGGTTGAGTATTATCGAGTTTGTTAATATTATTTAAAGGCGTCAATTGCTCACACACGAATAAGATAACTCGCATATAAACAACGGAAAGCAAGATCAAAGACTTGAACCTACTCTTTACACCTTGAAAAGAATTGAATAGTTGTTAATTGATTGATAGTTTGTTTCGAAAATCCTCTTGACGTTGGATCAAGGGTTTGACTTATTATCGCGTGCAAAACGTGTTGAAAATGAAATTGTTTGAAAAAAGAGACCGACTTGACTTACACATCAAGGGTCGAGTTGTAATAGGTTGATGGCGAATGCATATGAGCATTCGACTTACAGGGTGTTTGAAAATGGCTTGATGATGCATCGAGAATTAGTCTGAAAATAGTTTGATCCGCTCTAGTCCCTATGGGTGCTCCTAGGAGATAAACCGATAATCAAAGAAATGCGAAACATACATCGGGATGGGAGAGGGGTACATGTAAGTTACACGGGATTGCACGAAATAAAGGGGTCTCATTGTAAGGTAGCCCAAGAGAAAGCCGTGTGTGTGCATTTGTGTCCTAAACTATGCCTTGAGAAAAGTCGGGCACGACTCAAAGTTAGGGTACCTGCAAATGACCAAAGATCCAACAGTCCACCAATTTGGCTTTTAGGAGTTTCGATAATTTATTAGGTATTTTCGAATATGGGTGAATGAATATGAATAATGAGATATGATAATATGAATAATAATATGACAATAATATTCACAATAATATTTAACGGAAATTAAATTTAATGGTTAGTGAATCAAATCGGGACACGAAAGAATGGATCTCGTCTTAATCGCAAACATAATGCCGATTAATCGAAGGTAGCCTATCACGATCCCAAAGTACGAAAAATGACCCCAATGGTTATTCACCATAGATTTGAAATCGAGAAGGTTATCAACTTCGATACGCGACACTTACGAATAAAAGACTTCATTGATCCAAAAATCGAAATAAAATCGGAAAAAGAAGGTGGTCTCAGATCCTTTGTTTCACGCCAATAATTTGATGGTTAAACTTTGGTAATCTCGTCATCTACCGTAAAAGGAAGAAATATGAACATAAAGTTCTCAAAAATAAAAGTTAAAGTTAAACTTTTTAATATAAAAACCCCAAAGTTATGTAGAAAATGTTATAAAAATATTAAGAAAATCTAGAAATTTAATAAAAAGTCAATAATTAAATAAGCTAATTAAACTAGTTATATTAAACAAAAAAGAGGGAGTTTGAAAGGAAACAGGGGGGCTGTAAATATGAAATGTAGAGGATCACTTGGGCTTAAGCCCATCACCTCTCAATGAACCCGGATGGGGGTGTGAACAACAGGTTAAGGGTGTTAATATGGATAGACAGAGGTTTGAGAATAAAACAGGAATCATGTGGGCCTTTTAGGAGGCCCATCATCCTCAAGCTGAAAAAAACAACCGGATTAAGGAAAAAACACAGGCACCATCGCTCACCTGAGAAAGAGAAAAAAAAGCGAAAATAATAAAACAAAAAAAAGATCAAACCCTCCCAACCTTTCCTTGCGTTACTCTCTTCCGTCACAGAGTCAATCTCATTTTCAAAATCTGTTCACTCATTTCTCGATCTCTCTCCTTCTTTCTGATTCTGTCTGGTTTCGAAAACTTATATGGGTTTGGTGCTGATAAGACGGGTTGATGTTGCTTGGAGATGGGATGAAGGTCTGGGTGATTTGATTTGAAAATGAAGAAGACGCGGAATGGTTTTTTTCGAACAGGGTTTTGGATCGAAGAAGGTGAGTTGGTTGTTTCGGCGGTGAAGGGTCT